TTGCCTATCAAATATGAACTAAACTTGTCAAATTTAAATACTATAGCGAGTAACTCGCTAGTGTTGGTATAATTCATTTGAGCTTCATTCAGAGTCCTACTCATACTCACATGGTATTTCATATGAAAAATTCTCTTTTCCTTGTACTAGCACAGCCCCTACAACGTAATCATTAGCTTAACACATAATTTCAAAAACAATCTCCTTGTTTGGTGCTACAATAACTGGTGCAACAATTAATTTTTTCTTTTAATCACTTAAAGGCAGCTAGACATGTCCTTTTAATAAATGGCATAAATGATACACTAATCACTGAGAAATCTTCCATAAAAACTTTTATCATTTTTTCTATCATATCTGAAAAAATTGGTATCATATATCTCTAAAAAGTTGCAGGGGTGTTACAAAGTTTAAAATTCATCCTCCTAAAAGCAAATGTTCTATAAGAATAAGTGGTGGAGGTCTTATCCCGATTTTCTGGAGCTATAGAAATTTGATGACAACCAAAATATCCATATAGGAAACAGTAACACTATTTGTCATGCCATTTTATCTAACTTGTTGAGAAAGGACAAGGAAAAATGATATTTCCTAGTAACTTTGTTTAATTTTTTGTAGTCTATATTCTCTATCATGTGACACTACTAGTGGGTATAATTTCTTTTTGGTCATTCTCCACTACAATCACACCAATTTTCTTAGCAACACAATGCATATGGCTAACCCATGCACTATTTTAAATATGATAGATTATTCATGCATCTAACTATTTTTAATATTTCCTTCATTTCTTTGATAACAAAATTTAACCTCATTTGGGGATCAATTTTGGGTTGGTTGTTTTCTTCTATGAAAAGTCTATGCATGTAAAGTGAAGGTGTTACGCCAAATTATATCAGTTATAGTCCATCCAAACTTTCCTCAAATTTTTCAGTGCTCTCATCAACTATCTCTTGTACGTTTGTTAATTCAGCCGAATTAATAATGGGCAAAGTAGAAGATTCTCCTAAAAATATTTATTTTAGGTGTCTAAGGAGAACCTTAAGTTCTAATTTAGGTGCCTTAACTATGGATGGTACTAAAGGTTGAGCACTAGTTGAGGTTTCAAATTTTAAATATATCCCAAATCACTCTTGGAATTGCATCTAATAGTAGAGCACATTCTTCTTTAGGGTATTTACTATCTTCCTCAATCAATTCATGTTTCTATTGGATCAACCTCAAAAGTATCTGGAAATTGACTTCTAATCAACCCATCCAAACCTATAACACAAATTATCACCCGAGGATTGTGGGTATTTAATCGATTTCAAAACATTATATGTTATCTCTTGATCATTAACTCTCATAGTCAACTTCCTTTTCGAACATCAATCATTGCCTTTTCTATGGCTAGAAAAGGTCTACCTAAGATTATGAGTATCTCTCTTTCTTTCTGCATAACTCGAACTATGAAGTCTGTTGGAAGGATAAATTTATTTGTCTTAACCAAAATATCATCTATAACCCCTCTAGGATAAGTAAAAGATCGCTCAACAAATTTAAGTGTTACAATGATATGTTGTACTGCTCCTAATCATAATCTTTTAAAAATAGATAGGGCTTAAGATTTATACTAGCCCCTAAATTACTTTTTCTTGTTAAGAATGTCTTTTATAAATTTGACATAGCTAAACTTTTATTTTAAGACTTTAACGAAAGGAACATTAATTTGGAGTTTTTTAAACACATCCAAAAACCTTGAAAATTGTTGTTCAAGCTTGTGTTTTTGAAGCCTCTAGGGGAATGGTGAGGCTGGTCTTTCTCCTTCATTCGTAGAAATTTAGTAGGATTTTCCTATGTCCGTGTTGGTTTTTTCATAACTCTTTCTGGCTCAGGGTAAACTATTTCCACCCTAATCTCATTCCTAGTCACTTCTTCCAACACTTTTTCACATCTTAATTTAGTGACTTTTACGTGCTCATTTTCTTGTTCTTGGGACTCACTTTAGTATTTATGGGTAGGGTTATCTTGAGTTTGTTGCTCAATGGGCTCCCTATCTGTTCTAATTATTTATTACAATTTATTGTTGCTGCAGCTTGACTCGGCAATTGATCACCTATTTGCATCACAATCTCTTCCAAAGGTAATTCTTTTCTTTAAACCATATATTTGAAGTAAATTTATGTGGGTAAGTCGGTTTAGGGTTTCTACTACCTTGATTATTCTAATTACCTGTCGGGGTTAGATTGGTTGTTACCTCGCTACTTTGTTCTTACACCTTCATTATTGCTATTGTAGTTAAAATTCTGGTGATTATTTCAGCCTGGGTTTTAGTTGTTCGAATACGTGTCATTGAATTTATTGATTATAACATTCATAAATTCCACAAGTATAACACTAGGATCAACTAGTAGTCCATAAGCATTTTTCTCCATTGCTGCTGATTCTGGTGCAAAATTCAACCCTAGATTGTCTAACTTCTTAGAGATATCAAATACTTGAAATGTTAAAATTGTTTGCACATCCGTATCATGCATGCTAGTTATCTTTCTAAATTTTTCTCAATCTGATGACCATTGAAAATTATTTTTCACCATCTCTTCAATTAGTGAATACACTCCTTGAATTGTTTAGACACAAGCGATCCCCCAACATAACATCTATTATGAACTTCAACGATCCCACCAGCTTATTATGAAATATTTGAATTATGAGCAAGTTTAGTAAGCCGTGGTGGGGACATTTTCTAAGTAGGTCCTTAAATCTCTGTCAAACATTACAAATTCATTCCCCATCTATTGGGTGAATTAGGTGATATTATTCCTGAGTTTTGTCATTTTGGATGGAGAAAAATATTTTGCTTGGAATTTGAGTTAATTCATTCCATATGACAATAGATTCAATTGCTAAGGAATTGAGCTGCATTTTAATCTTATCCCTAAGTAAGACATGAAAAAACATAACGTCGTTAGAGACACCGCTATATCGAAGATAAAATACAGTTCAAGGAAGCTCGCTAAGTGAATGTTAGGGTCTTACATGTGTGATTCTCAAAAACTGATTATTTTGTACCATTAAGATAATGATGGGGTTTGACTTCGAAAGTGTTGGCTTCTACGACTGGTTGTTGATACTTAAGTGGATTTCTTCTACTAATGAGTTGACAAATTCTCTAAGTGGTCTAGTCATGATATGGGGTCTTGGTGTGTTGTGTTCTTCCTGAGTTATGTTTGTCATATCTCATAACTTCTTTTTTAGTCTTAAATTTTCTAATTTTTTAATGATTTTTTCTAGTTAAGGGTTGTAGTGTACTAGTTCTAAAGTTCCAGCCCTACGCATAAATAAATAGAACAATCTAGTGAAGTGGCCATATACTAACATAATTAATAAATTACAATCAAACAACTAAAAAAAATTTAAACTAAGCAAATAACGTGCTGAATTAAAAAAGCAAACAAAAAACACAATTTTCACAACAATGAAATAGCAATAAAATAGTTGCATAAAATTAGCAGTAGTAACATAAAACACAACACAAAATTTTTTTTTTTAAACACAGGGAATAACAAATAAATTTTAGTAAATGCACAACACTATAATTTTAAAGTCTAGATCATAACAGTTTGACTAAAATTTTTCTTAAATTGGAAATTCAACGTCCTCGACAAAGATTCTAAAAAACTTAATACATATCGAGATGATGCGTGGCGCCAGTGAATCACGTAAGTATACATGTTCTCCAAGTAGTATACGTAACAAAATCCATGTATCGATCCCACCAGGAATAAACAAACTCCCGAAGTGAAAAATTTCCTGCCAACTGGTTTTGAATTCAGCCTGAAGAAGTTCCGTGATTTTGAAAATTCACTAATCCTAATTTTTGAAATGGCAAAACCTAAGTTGACAAGGTGAGAATTTCAATAAAATTTTCAGATGCTAGTAAAATACTCCCTTAAATCGGTTTTGTAGGAATCCAACTTCGACTAGGTGATTCAAATTGTAGGTGACAATTAGGAGCAGATCTCCTCATCCTCTCTCAAGCGTCTTACAAGGTTTAATGGTCAAATATATACTTAGTTCTCTAAATCAAATGATTAGTCCAGGATTCTTTATTTTACAATAGGATTGCACTAACCTCCAAGCAATACTTCTATTCTCCTAAATTAATGTGTCTTAACCGGTTGTTCCCCTAAGGATTCTTCTGAAACTTGAAGATCACAACATATTTTTACTATCCAACTAGTTAGGTTGAATGTAGACAAAAAATTGAAGGATAAATCACTACCTTATAAAAATTCAGCAAAGCCGCACAGGAAAAACCAAACTTTAAACTTCTATATCACCGTTTCAAGGGAAGAAAACAATTCTACTGATTAATTATGATTTATTGAGAACAATAACATCATTTCATTTATAGGAAATATAAAAAATAAGAGTTTGAAAGGATAAAATTCGATGCAATACATCAAGGAAATTGCAAAATTGTATCTCTTCCTTCTCTAAATGAAATGCTGAGATTACAAGCAACACTCAGAAATCTCACAATCACTTCTCACTTCGCTCTCGCACTTGAAATTGGTGTCCTTGCATTTCCCCTCAATTTCATGTGAATCGAATGCCCCAAGGAGATCCCTTTTTATGGCTTCTCTCGCGAATCGATGCCTGTGAACGGATCAAACCATCAAAACACATGAACTAGGGCCTAAGTGCTCTGCTTTGGCGCCCAAACTCTGCTCCTTGATTTTGCTCAATTCTTCATTTCTTCAGCTCCAACGAATCTTCTGACCTGAATCTTGCAAAATATATCACAAACACCATCCAAAAGCATAAAACTAACATAAAATCAGTTTAAAATTAAACATATGCGATCACATATCCTGTTAATTGTTCTATTAAATCGTTAACTAGAGCAGTGTTTCGAAATAGATTTTTTCAGAACCTCTTTCTATGGATTCCTTTTTTTATGAGCTATTAAATTATACCTTTTGTTTTCTCTTACCGTGCTTTTTTCCATATAGGTCCATGGAAATCTCAATCTGAAGCCAACCAGTCTCTCCCATTCTCAGGGTTACAGCGCGGACATGAATCATTTTCGCTGCCCTACTCATCTCTTGTACATCCACCACCAAAATTGGGCTCCGTTGCTATCAACAGCAACGTTGGACAACCAGCTGCTGACCGCCCCACTGTGTACTGGCCAACTCGGCCTGAAACTCAATCAGAATCCTTTTCTACCACCTCTATGAACGTTTTGCAATCCAATGAAAAGACGCAGGAGGCAAGCGGCGGCATCATGTTATTTGGGATCCAGCTGATTGAAATGTCCACTGTTGCGGAAGATACCTCATCAATGGCTGCTATCACTGATGTTGTTAGGGATGCAAATGACCATCTAGGTGTTGATTTTGAACATCATTCCCGTCCTTCCAACTTAAACCAGTCCGATGGCACGGAGCTAAGCACTGAGCCAGAAAATTCCTGTCTCAGATCTTCCCAGGAATCTCAGAGCAAGCAAACTAGGAGCTGCACCAAGGTTTTTGTTGATACAACTAGATTATTTATTTTCATTGGTTAATGCTTCTCCGGCATCAGCAATTGTGAAAGGGGTTTGCACTTAGTGGCTAGGTTTAGCCTGGTGAGCTCTATCTGCTGCTGAGGGCTTGTTAGGGCACGCAATTTTAGGCTTTGTCCTGCATTTGGATAATTAAAATATATATATTGATTTATAAATACAAAGTACTTTTTCTGGACCACAGGTTTAAGATTTTGGGTCTAAAACGGTTTTGATTACTAGTATATATCTAGATTAAATTTTATTCTTAGTTGTATTAAAGCTGAATTGGGATCAAGTGGCTTATGCTGTTTATTGCTCTCATGATTCTTGGCGGGCATTTACCATAGTTGAGTATGGTTTAAGAACAGGTGAATCATGATTTTACGTCTTCATGTGAGCTCTTGGTACATGATGCAAAAAGTTTTTGAAAGGAGTTGATCACTGATATGGAGAGCTCTTATACAAGGAAATTGTCAAGTTACGTAGAGTTTTGAGGATAGTTTCACATAAGTATTGGCTTACATTTGTAAAGCTTAAGCTTTTTTAGTTAGCTGTGGTCCTTTTAAATCTTCTACTTTAAAAGGACCTCCATACAGGCATGGGCGTACCAAGCCGTACTTTTTTTATGTTGTTTAACATGGATTAGTTTTATCCTTTCTATTTATATGCATTATGAATGCATAGGTGCACATGCAAGGGATGGCTGTTGGAAGGGCAGTGGACTTGACAAGGCTGGAGGGGTATGAGGACCTCCTTAGGAAGCTGGAGGAGATGTTCAGCATCCAAGGAGAACTGTTTGGAGATACCAAGAAATGGCAGGTTGCCTACACTGATGATGAGTATGACATGAGGATGGTTGGCGACTACCCGTGGCAGTAAGTAGCCTGCTCGTCTACCACCTCTTACTCCTTACTCTTGTGCTAAACATAATCATATGTTAGTGCAGTGAGTTCTGTAACATGGTAAAGAAGATTTACATCTACACATATGAGGAGGCTAAGCGGTTGTCTCCAAAGTCGATGCTGGAGAAGTCGTCGCTGACGGCCAAGACCCTGTGTGGGACTGCAGCTGGTCCTGCAGAGGACCAGGTGGATAAGCATGACTGACATGTGGCTTATCTCTGCAGGTAATGTGCCCATCTTTTATTCGTTTTGTTGCCTTTTGGCTGAGTGTATTATGTCAAGCAGGCACATGCAACAGGCACTGTTTTGCCATTCGTATATAGGATCCGTCCATCATTGCCAGTTGACCATAGGCATCCGATGGGTCTTCTGCTGTAATAGGGTGTTAGATTTCGGTTTTATGTTGGCTTTTATATAGTGAAAAGGATTGGATTTATTAGGTGTTTGTTGTTAATGGGAAGCTAATTGTGGATGAGCTGGAAATAGGGCGTTTGCTTGTCTAATTTGATGCCTTCTTTTGTTTGACCTTCTTGTCGCATCCGACGTGTATCTCTTGTCTGTCCTTTTGGTTTGATTTTTTGTTTTCGTATGCGTGCTAATTAGATGTACGCGGGCCTTGCCATCCTAATATGGATGATTCCCTTTTGTGTGGGGTTGGGGGCTCTTTCACCGCATTGTTTCTTTGTGAGAACAAAAACCCCAATTCTGAAGGTTAATACAATGATGCAATGCTATACTTAAATAGAGAGGTATATGAATTGATTTCATGTTAATTATTTTTATGGTTGCTGATGTGATATAATTGTAAATAAGTTTAGTAATTGAATTTTTTAATGGGTTTGCCAAATTATTTGTTTTCATATATTTGAACAAAAAATTGAGGTCGTTGTATTTGGGTTACTCATGTTAGAATTTGCTCATTAAGTAAATATTTGAATTAAAAATATACCGCATTTCTATCAGAATTTTGTTTTCTACTTTGATGAAAGTGTTTTATTTTAAGGAGACTTTGTGAAATACTTTGTTTGGCTTGAACAAGAAATGGTGAGAGAAGATATTAATTTGGATGACTGTCAAGGGTTCTCATGAAGCGACACACGGGAGCTTTTATGATTGCACTTTTTTTATAAATTAACATGAAGAGATGTGTGATGATTAGGGATGTGTTTCATTAAGATTCCTGTGAGTATTATAATATAATGGGATTCAGGTCCCTTTTGGGGCAACTATTTTTTGGTGCAATACGGTTTGAAAATGCAGATGCAGCTATTTGGAAAGTGCGTCGGGGTGGCTTATCCTAATAAGCTATGTTAAACGCGGGCGTGGGTTCAATTCCGCCACTCACAGTTTCTTCAAGATTTTTAACCTTTCTGCACTTCACGTGTTTCATCCGTGGCTCCTTCGCGTTTCTTCCGCCCTAGGTTCCTCTCTCAATCGATTGCCTCTCTCGATCACGTATCTTCTGCCTAAGGTACATAACCTGCACCTCTTTTGGTTATTGTGCTATGTATGTATTTTCTTTGCTCGTTTTCGATGGAATGGTTTTCTCATTGCAATATGTTGTTTTATCATTTGCGGTTTAGGGTTAGAATATTGTGGATTATGAGATGTGTGCCTTTCTTGTTTACCTCTTCTTATTTTGTGATTTAGGATGGTGTTTTAATCGTTGTGTTTAGGGGTGTAAACGAGTAGAACACGAGCAAGCCCAAACTCAGTTCGTGTTCGACTTGTCAAAAAATATCACTGTTCGTGTTCGACTTGTTTATATTTCGAATACTAAAATTGTGTTTGTGCTTGACTTGTTTGTTTAGCGAACAAAGTCGTTCTGACAACCTTACCCTAGGATGTTAAGGCTTGGGCCAATATTTAAATTTTATTATTTATTTTAAAGCATCATTTAAATATAATTTAATCTATTTTTATTATATTTTTTAATTAATAATTTTAATTGCTTATAAATCATTGCAGCTTGTAGTCAATTAAATCTTTTAAAAATACAACTCATCAATTTTATATATATATATATATATATATAATTGATGAGTAGTATTTCAAACAAAAATGAGTTGAACATGAACGAACAATTTTTGTTCGTGTTCGACTAATTTATATATCGAGCTCAAAACTGTGTTCGGCTAGTAAACTTAGTGAACGAATCGAACATGAGTTATTTGCGAACAACGAGCCGAACACGGGTTCGCAAACAAGCCATTTTAACATCCCTAGTTGTGTTTGTGATAAAAATTAATGAAAGAGTTTGGAATGACTTTTTCAGGCTACGTTAGATGGGATGACTCTTACCCTTGTGTTTTACCCATTTTGTTTGTTTATTGTCACCTCTACTGATTTTGTGAGTCAAAATTTGAAAAATGGATGAAAGAGGGTGTTTGATTTCTTGATAGCAATGTTTCAATTGTCATATATGTATGACTATTTGTTTACATTTACATGCATTGGTTTTTTAAGTGGGAATTTGAAAAATGGATGAAAGAGGGTGTTTGATTTGTTGATAATGATGTTTCAGATGCCCTTTGTGTATCTACCTCAATTCCAAAATATTGATAGATTTGATGTTGGAGTGAAAATTTGACAAATTAGAAATTGATGAAAGAGGGGGCTTTATAGATAGTAATGTTTTGGTTGTCATGTATATATGGTTGTTTGTTTACATTTATATGCACTAATTTTTTTAGTGAGAATTTGAAAATTGGATGAAAGAGGGTGCTCGATCTGTCGATAACAATGTTTCAGGCCTTCTGTATGTATCTACCTCAATTCCAAAATATTGACAGCTTTGATGTTTGAGTGAGAATTTGAAAAATGGATAAAAGAGGGTGCTTGATTTGTAGATAGCAATTTATCGGTTTTCGTGTTCTTAATTGACTCAAATGAAAAATATGAGATTGGGTTTTGTCAGAACCGTTGATGTTTGAGTGAGAATTAAAAAAAAAATGGATAAAAGAGGGTGCTTGATTTGTAGATAGCAATTTATCGGTTTTCGTGTTCTTAATTGACTCAAATGAAAAATATGAGATTGGGTTTTGTCAGAACCGTTGATGTTTGAGTGAGAATTAAAAAAAAAGTAGATGAAAGAGGGTGCTTGATTTGTAGATAGCATTGTTTTGGGTGCCCTATATGTAATTGTTTCAAAAGAAAAATATGGGATGAGCTTTTATTATTACCTTAGATGTTTGAGTGAGAATTTGAAACATGAATGAATGAAGGTGCTTGATTTGTAGAAGGCAATCTTTTGGGTAAATTACATACGGGCACCCAAAATAGATGCATTTATGCTTGCCACGATTGAACCATTGTGAATTTAATAAAAATGAACAACATGAGATGGTGTTGTTGTGGTGTGGTGTGGTAATGTGGGTTGGTTGTGTTGGTGTTGATGTGATGTAGTGATAGTGGTGTTGATAATGTGGTGCTAGTTATGTTGATAGTGGTGGAAAATAAAGAAAAAACAAACAAATCCAATAAAAATCAAAAATAAAATAGTCAACAAATTACATAGAGTCATTTCTCAATCGAGAGACGTAAATATTCAACATGCAGCTCAGGCTGCAACCTCATGTATATCTGACGGGTCGGGTCCTCGAGCAATTTAACACATTTTTAATAAAAGGTTGGATCAACCACAATTTCTGAAAGTGCATCTAAAACTACAAAATTTTTTTTGATGGTGATCTGCTGTAGCAACAGATGACGGAGCTGCAAATACTTCTATCATTTTATCTATTGAGTTTTTCATGAAAACATCTTTTTCTTTCCTCCTTTTCTCTAGCCTGAGCTTATTTGATTGACACATGGACTCAAGCTCCATCGGGTTTATGCTAGGCTCTTCCCTAGAACGCGTAATCTGCTCTAGTGGTAAGTCATCTGGGATGCGCACAAATCTCAGCTCACTTGGGTTGAACGCATGCTGACCCGTCGTGACAACCCCCTTAAAAATTACGTCCAATTTATCTTTCAAGTCCAGGTCAATTTAGCCCCCTTTTTTTTTTTTTTTTTTTTTTTTTTGTGCAGCTGTATTGTCTGCAACGTTGTGAGGGGGAGGGGGGCATGTTAGTTAAAAAAAAATGATAATGCGTAAAAATACAGGTTAGTCTACCATTATTACCTCTAGCTTCTTAGTTTATCATTCCTCTGAAGCATCAATGGTACGCATAATGAGATCTTAACCCAACCAGTGGTTCCCCGTTTAAGCTCATTCCATAACTTCCGCTTCTTCAATTACTCCCACTTGTTCTTAAATTTTAGCTTATTATACTCCATTCCAGTCAATTCTTTGAACCTCTTCGAAATATTTTGCCAGCCTCTTTTGTTAAAGTATGCGATAAGTCTATTTCCAACCTCAATCTCTATAATGCAAATATCACAAAAAATATTTATTACTTCTTTATCCCACATTGCTGGCGGACCCCCTGGTTTCATTTTAACCAAGTTGGAACTAATTGAAGAATTGACAGTTAAACAAAATAACTTAACATATAACAAAATCAATATGTTAGAACATTATAGAATGAGAATAAAAAAAATTTAAATTAAATACCATTACATAATGGCAAATAAATAAACAAAAATACAAAACAGAAGAGCTTGGAGAAAGCCCACACATTCACATGAAATAAAGAACGTAAAAGAAATAACCTCAATATCCATTTTCCAAGAGATTGAAAGCTCCTCAAATTCACTATTCTGCAAGATCATAAAACTAATTTTACGAAGCATCCCATGACTTACATATCTTACCCTAATTCTATATGTAAATAGCACAAATAATATTTAAAGTTCAGTAATAGTGCTTCTAGACAAGTGCACAAATAATAAACCTCTCAATGCCACCATACACAAGCACAACTCACATCCACCACCAACCCACGCACCCAATGCCACGAGAACACACACCAAAGCCACCACAACCACCATAAACACTTCTCACAATCACCATACACAAGCACATCTCACATCAACCACCAACCCACACACTCAAGGCCACTAGAACACACACCCAAGCTATCACAACCATCATAAACACCTCCACAGCCACCACATACAAACACAACTCACATTCACCTCTAACCCACACACCCAAGGCCGCCAAAACACACACCCAAGCCACCACAACCACCATAAACATCTCTCACAGTCACCACACACAAGCACAGCTCGCACCACCACCAACCCACGCACCTAAGGCCACCAAAACACACACCCCAAGCCATCAAAATACACAACCTAGGCCATCACTTTATTGCACCAAGACACTAGCATGGTATAGAAATTAGATAATTCACATCAAAATTAAAATAACAAAAATTTCATAATCATAATCAGTGGATAGAGGACCAAAATTTTAGCAATTTATATAGAAATTCTTTAAGTATATAACATGCATTTATATAAAAAATCACCTAGAAATTTACTGAAAAATGCTTATAAATTCAAATGAATACCCACAGAAGCATTGCACGAATCAAATTGAGCCCTCATTAGAAAAGTAAAGGCCAATTTTTTTTTCCAGGCAAAACATCTCTCACAGCCACAATACACAAGCACAGCTCACATCCACCACCTACTCACACACCCAAGGCCACAAGAACACACACCCTAAGCCACCATAACCACCATAAACACCTCTCATAGCCACTGTAAGCACCTCTCACAGCCACTAATACAAGCACAACTCACATCCACCACC